CTGCCAGGATGTCTGGAATTCAAACCCCAGTGACTTTTAAACACTTTTCCATGTTAGTGCGTCTCTGCCAACAGTCAGGTAACTTGTGTCATGAAGCTGTGACAAAGGGTGGTGGCAGTTGTTGTTTCATGTCTCAGAGAGTTTTAAAAACCAAACAGAATTAAACTTCATCCGAGCTGAAAAGGAAAATACATTGATTGAGCACAAGTGGACACCATGTCGCTGTCTTTAGAGATGTACTTCTCGTTTCACGTTCAGGAGTCTCGTCCAATTTGGACTGAAAGGGGAAGAATAAACAAAGAGGGAAGAGCTCAGTCAGTGGTGATCTGCTGCACTTCCTGTTTACTCTGAGAAAAGCAGCTCCTCAACAACAGAAAATTGTCTGTCTTGTTTTGGTCAGTGCCAAGTGTGGTGCTGATCTGGGGTTACCCTCGACTGGTCTGGGGGTGGGGGTTCCGGCAAAGAAGCTGGACACACAGACAGTGTTGGTCGGCAGGTTGTAGGAAACAGTTAGTGCAGGTGTCCGGATGGGTTTTAGCTTCTACTGTGTGTTGGTGAAACAGCCGAGCAGCAAACACTGCCTTTATTTAAAGGTGCAATACACTCATTTTAATGAGTAAATGTTTGACAAAACAGATTTGGATTCCCTTGTCATTAGCATGTTAGCCAACAGGGGACGAAGGCTGTCCTTCTGTTTTGGTGACTTGTGTCTAGTGCGTGACTGTGGCTAAGGATAAAAAGGGGAATCCCACTTTCCACTGTGAACCGACAGTTTCCTCTCACAGTTTCTATTATTCTGTCTTCATGCAGACAGAACAAACCACCTGATCGACTTCAGTGTGACACATCAACATTGCACAGCATGACTAATCATAAAAATAACCTTTTTGTTGATTGTGTTATGCGTGTGGCACAGTAACACAACCCCTGTCATAGGTTTGTGCCTGTGAAATGTTTCCAGGCTTTGTATTTTGGGCAAAGCTGCACTGAACAAACCTTTTTATTCAAGTGTCTGCTGAGTTTTTGTTTCTCTTGATTTTCTTTGTGCTTTCTTAAAGTTGTTACTGAATGACCTCAGCTGACGGACTGGCCTGTCTTTCTGTGTGTCTCTCTCCAGCTGCCAAGCGTCCCTCCTCAGTCTCGTCTCTGAGTGGGATTGTGGGTAGGATGATGTCATCCAGCGAGCGAGGAGCCTCGTCTTCCTCCTGCACCTCTGTCAACACCGTCTGTTCGGACAGTGAGCGTCCTGCCTCCCTCTCCTCCTCTGCCTCCTCCGTCTCACTACAGGATGCCTCCCACTCCTCCTCTTCCTCCTCCTCCTCCTCCTCTTCACTGCCGTACGGTGCCGTGCCAACCTACAACACCTCTTTGTCATCATCCTCCACGCCAAAAAGGAACGGCTCAGACATCAGCCTGGACCTCACCCCCCTCGTAACGCCACACGGAGCAGGAGGAGGTGGGGTCTGTGTTGCCAGGCTAACAGGAGGACAACCCCCTAGTGAGCTAGTAGCCAATCCAGCGGTGGCAGCAGCAGCAGTGGCCAGTCCCAGGCAGCTTTCACGGCTGGAGCGAGTTGTGATGGAGATTGTAGAGACTGAACAAGCTTACGTCAGAGATCTGAAGAGCATCGTGGAGGTAAGACCAGTTTGTGACCAATGACCGTTGTGTCGTCAGTAAACTTTAGGAGCTTGACAGAGGGGTCCTTCGAGATGCAGTAAACAGCAGAGGGGAGAGCACACATCCCTGGGGGGCACCTGTGCTTATTGTCAGGGTGCTGGATGTGGTTTTCCCCAGCCTCACCTGCTGCTTCCTGTCTGTCAGAAAGCTAGTAATCCACTGACAGGTGGGGGCAGGCACAGTGAGCTGGGTGAGTTTGGAGTGGAGGATGTCTGGGATGATGGTGTTGAACGCTGAGCTGAAATCCACAAAGAGGGCCCGTGCATTGGTCCCTGGGGAGTTGAGGTGTTGCAGGATGTAATGCAGTGCCATGTTCACTGCATCGTCCACTGACCTGTTTGCCCGGTAGGTGAACTGCAGGGGGTCCAGCAGGGGGTCAACGATGTCCTTCAGGGGGTCTAATTAAGCTCAAACAATTTCAGTATTAAAGTTTGACGTACACATTATGCAGCAGTAATATTAATGCCAAAACTTCATATACAACAGTAAAAGACAGACAGGGACCACTTTTCTGCATGAGTACTCTTACTTTTGATACTTTGAGTCCATTTTGTTGGTAATTCTTACACACTTTTACTGAATTAAGGGTTTGAATACAGAAATTTTACTTGTGGTGGAGTGTTTGCTACGGTGTTGCCCTGACAGATGCTCTCTGTGACTGTATGTCACAACTTTCTCTAGTACAGTTTGGTAACACCTGCAGCTGTGGTTTCTAACATGAGACTATGTGAAGGAGGCGGCTGCTGCCCTCTGTGCACTCTCACGCTCCTGTGGTAACATGCACTGTTACCCAGTCACAGATGAGTATATGCCCCGAGGGCTGGAGGTTGATGGGCTGTCCTCGTTACTACGGCCTTATATTTTGAGGTGCCGGTTTCGAGTAGGAAACAGAAACACAGATGACAGGCCACAGTGCAGGACAGCTGTGTGTGTGTGTGTGTGGGAGGAGCTGGCTGGAACCTAGATTTACTGGCCAGGTGTGCATGCCTTTGGGCCAGTTCACCTGCAGCTAGCCTCCACACAGAGACCACCGCCCACTTTCTGCACTGACTCTGGATTTTAGAAACTTTTATTCATTAAAACATCAAACCTTTCTCTGAGAATCACACAGTTTCTGTCACGCTCCCTGTTTTTTGTGACTGGCATTCGTGTCTCCTGTCTTACTATTCATGCTGTGGATCTGGTTTGCCACATGTTTAGCAGGGTGTTCCAGAGTCGCTGACGTGTACAGTGTGCTCCTTGAGCAGCAGCTATCAGCATTCACTTCCTTCACCCAACCTCTGGTCAGGAACATGAATTATAAAGCTGAATACCGTGAATGTCCACGTAGGCTATAAGCATTTATTTTGTGTCATTTACAATATTCACACTTTGTTATTGATGCATTTTATTACTGTATATGACGTAAGTTAAATGTGCACATAAAAAGAGTAAAACAGGAAGTGCCAAGGTATCAACAGCCAGAAAATAAAATAAATAGTGCTCCTGCTTGGTGGTTCGAAAGTAAAACAGAGCTTCTGTCCATGTTTGGAGTAACTTTACTCCTTTATGTGTTGAATGGCACTGGGTCTCCGGGTTTACACACACACACACACATTTCTCTTCAGCACCACACAGTTGTTACTGGCATGTACGTGTGTGTGTGTGTGTGTGTGTGTTTGTGTGCGCACTACTTCTTAGTTCTGCTGTGGAAATGCTCAGCATAGTGTTGTATTCACTGAAACAGACAATTCATTCAAAGACAGGGCTGTGTGGACGTGGGCCCTGGTGAGAGCGCCGAGCCCAGACAGTTCAGTCCCCTGTTCAAGGTGACTACTGTCATTATTCCTGTTGCATTGTGGGAAATCACTCAGCACTTCACCTTACCTGAGGAACATGCACTGTAAGACCTGCTTGGAGAAACAACATGGAAGTTCTCCGTTGAGTAAAAAAAGGAACTTCTTTAAAGGCACTTCTGAATGGACAATGTTGTGGCTTGTGGACAGAATGTGCTGACTTTGCTGTTTGATCGTGTGGGTTTCATCCGTCGTTGGTCCAGGTGCACCGGGAACCCGCCAGGCTCTGATCCACCTGTCAACTGGAGTGTGAAACATCCTTTAGAAGTTCTGCTTTTATCCTCTACCATGACACACACACACACACACTGAGGGCTGGGCTGTCATCAGTGTTATCAGCCCTCTGTCAGCTTCTTCCCTCTGACAAACCCCCAGCTCTCTCTCTCGTCTTTCTTCTTTGTGGGTCAGTCCCCCTGGATGCTCTCTTTCTCTTCTCTGCTTTCAGTCAGAGGTCAGAATCACACTACTTCTATTCTCCTGATTCCACCACTAAAGTTGTTTATTAGTGGCTCATCCGTCAGGGCACATTTATTTGAGTCATACCAAGAGGCGACTCAAAGTGCCTCCCACAGTGCACAGACATTAGCACGACAGCACAGAGAGTAACAAATGAAACACAAGCAGAGAACAGCTGAGGGAAACCACTTATTATCCCACCCACCGTAGTTCAAACTCAGTTAAACGTGCTTGTTATAGAGATTGGTGTGATTTTAGCTGCATGAGATTAAACCTCACTGAATGTGACTCACGCACAGGCTGTGACACGTTCATGTGCGTCGGACACGTGTCTCATACAGTGGCTTAGAATGAAAGTGCATCTGGAGAAGTTATGAGCATCAAAGGTTCAAAGATGTGGCCAGTGTAGAGCTAGTTAGGTAGCTAGCTCTTCACTTAGCAAACAGTTATGTGTAAGCAACTCTAAACTGATTGGATGATGACAAAATCAAACTCTATCCAACCCAGTGCATTATTTTGACAAATACAGAAAGTGTCAGAGGACGCCAGTCAACTTAAAAACCAGTTTCTAATTGGAAAACTTCATAACCAAAAACATATTTCTGAGGATATACGAGGTGATTGTTTCCTTTGCAAACTCTCAGCAAAGCTTCTGAACATGCCCTCAGTCCTTCTCCAGCTGTGAGCACATGTGTGTTGCATTGTGGGAAAACTGTGCCCATCAGCGTCACAGTCAAAACACTGTTCAGTGTGAAGAGCAGAAGCAGCGATCCCAGAATTCCTCTCTCCTGATGGAAGGAGGTCTGATAGATGATATGTATGTGTGTGTGTGTGTGTGTGTGTGTGTGTGTGTGTGTTGTCCTTAATGTTAGCCTTCATTCCTGTAGCTTTCTGTATTTGAGGTTTTGTCTGGTTCTGATTACGGCTACATGATGTCACGCTCACTGGGAATCTGAACCAACTACCATAATAGGCCTGTGTGTGTGTGTGTGTGTGTGTGTTTGACAGCAGTAACACACACACACACACACACACACACACACATACACACACACAAGAATGAAGCAAATCAGCTCCTCTCTGTCACTGATCAACTCCTCGAAACTCCTGAAGGTGAAGCTGTGTGGCAAGTAGGTGGGGCTAAGTTAGAAAAGGTGGAATCATTTCATCTGATCAAGAGATTTATTGTGTTCTTTCAAAAGAGAAAACTCGATTGTGGAGTGAACATGATAGGTTTTGCCGTTGACCTGCAGCCAAGTGGGACAGGAAACTGAGGCAGAGGAGAGGGGGGAGAGACGGATGTTGGGGGGGTAGCAGAAAAAACACAAGTAAGAGAGAAGACGAGGAGGTGGGGATGAGTGTTGGGATCGAAGGGAGATTTGGGGAACAAGAAAGGAGAAAAATAGAAAACCACAGATGGGATGGAGAAAGTTAGAGAGACAGAGAAAAGTGAGCAAAGACAAAGGACAGGACGGAGAGAGCTGAGGAGACAGGAATGTGGCAGAGAAAAGGGAGGAGGTGAACGTGAGGTCACAGGGAGAATTTGGGGAACAGGAAGGGAAAGATGAGGAGGAAGGACGCAGGCAAACCGAGATGAAAGACCAGCTCCCTCGGCGTCTCCGGCTGTTGGAGTTCATCATCCTCACAGTGAAGCAGCAGCGTAATTTCAGCCTGTTCACACTCACAGACCGACTGCAGCCGAACAACCACCAAGTTTATGTTGCTTCAGCCAAGTGTTCGTAACAGCAGCCCATTCACACGTCACCGAAACATGTCGTTACTACATGTGGAAGTACAAGGACAGAGAATGTTTGTGACCTGGATGGCCTGGGGAAAGCTAAGGAGGTTGGCTCTCGGGCACTGGCAGACCCCCAGCAGGGATAGAGAAAAGAGATGAGACAAAAAAGGGGGGTGAAGGAAATGGGGGGTAACCAAAAGCAGAAGTGAAAGTACTGTGGTTTCAGTACGTTGGGAATCGAAGTGACGTAGATCAGGTCAGGCCCCGCCCCCAAACTGCAGATGATTTCATGTTGTCCATTTGCAACTGACCGCCACCTTTCCTTGGTTCGGTACGTCTCCTCCTCGTGCAGGAGAGACGCTACGTGGAATCCTCCAAAACTGTATAAATGACATTCGTCTTGTGCTAATTTAACTATAGCAACATGAATCATGCTTTAACTGGATATCAGAGGATGGGAATATTCACTCAGTTTAAACAGGCTGTGATTTTGCATCTTTGTGAATCAAACGTGTTTCCTCATGTTGATGAGATGTGGAATATTTAGGTCTTATGCTTCTCTCCAAGTGTGTCGCTGTGTAAATGTCATGTCTACAGGAGACAGAGAAACTCTGGTCCGACTGGCTCTGCGTCATGTAAATGTAACCCCTTGTTGATCTGGTGTTTGTCTTGACACTAGAGCTTATACAGACCAAAAAAGGAATAACTTGAAAGACTGACAAGCAATTTAGTCCAGTTGATCAGGACAAACCTCAACATTTGGTTGTTATTTGACCCACAAAGACACCACACTCCT